TGCGGCGGACAAGTTTGTGGAAGGGAAAACAAGGGAAAGAACAAGGGAAGGAGTTTCTGTTGTCCGGTTGCTGCCCGTGGCTGAGGGAACTTCGCAGGGATACGCTGCTCCCGGTTCTCCCCGGCCCGCCGCTCCCGGTCCGGCTGCGGGGGCTGCGCCCACTCCGCCGGGAAAGCCGCTCTCGTCCCGGCTGCAAACCCTCCCCTATTCGGGGACCGATTTTTGACACCCCCTGGACTCCCAGTCCCCGCCGGTAGCTCTGCGGGACCCGCCGGGACGCCCCGTCGTGCCGCCCGCTGCAAGAGGGCGGCCGGGTCGGTGCCGTCCCGGGCGGCTGCAGGCGCCGGGGGTGCTCCCGATCCCCCGAATTGCACCCGAACTCCCCGAATTGCACCCGAATTCCCCGATGACTCCCGGCTCCGAGGGTGCTCCCGGCCCCGGGAATGTTCCCGGTCCCGGAGGTGCTCCCGACNCCACCTGCGGGCACGGCCCCGCTGCCGCTCACGGCCCCGCGGCTGCGGGCAGCCGGCGGCTCCCGCGGGAAGGCGGCGGTCGGGTGGGGGGCTCATCCCGGGGTTCTTCCCCAGCCCCGAGCCTTCCCGGTGCCTCCCGGCCCCGGGAATGTTCCCGGTCCCGGAGGTGCTCCCGACCCCGCGGGCCGTGAGGGCGATCCCGGTCCCCGCCGATGCTCCGGGGATGTTCCCATCCGGGTGCTGCGGGGATGCTCCCGGTCCCGGGGGTGCTCCCGGCCCCGGGAATGTTCCCGGTCCCGGAGGTGCTCCCGACCCCGCGGGCCGTGAGGGCGATCCCGGTCCCCGCCGATGCTCCGGGGATGTTCCCATCCGGGTGCTGCGGGGATGCTCCCGGTCCCGGGGGTGCTCCCGGCCCCGGGGGGGCGCGCCCGTTCCCCGCGGGTGCAGCGGGAGCCGCCGCGCCCCCCGCAGGCCCCGGTGCGCCACTGCAGCCCCGCCGCCACCGGGAGCCCCCACCTGCGGGCACGGCCCCGCTGCCGCTCACGGCCCCGCGGCTGCGGGCAGCCGGCGGCTCCCGCGGGAAGGCGGCGGTCGGGTGGGGGGCTCATCCCGGGGTTCTTCCCCAGCCCCGAGCCTTCCCGGTGCCTCCCGGCCCCGGGAGCCGCCGCTTCCCCGGGAAAGGCTTCTCCTGCGGGCCGCTGTCCTCGGCGGTGGAGGGGAAAGCGGGGCCGGAGGTTACGGAGGGAGAAGCGGTTCCCGGAGGGAGGCAGCGGGCAGGAAAGTTGCCGGTGCCGCTGCCGCCGGCGCGCAGATGCCGAGCCGAGGCATTGCTGCTATGTGGGGAAATATGAGCGAGTAATTTTATAAGTAACAAAGGCCGGGGAATGGAATGAGCCCCTGTTATCCGGTGTCCTCTGGAAGCCCTGGATCAGCAGCTTCTTGAGCCTCGCAACGACTCGGGGCAGAGGCTCCTTTCTTTTTTCCCAGGGGATCGGCTAAATATAGAAACCCCCTCGATCGCACGAATCACCCACCATTTGCTGTTTGTGTAAAACCGATTAGCCAGACACAACTGTGAAACAACTCGTTCCTCTGACACCGCCACGCACCGCCACATTCCGCTCCGCGGGGTTCCGCGGGGCCGTGGGTGCCCGCGGAGGGCCCCGCGTGTCCCCGCTCCCTCCAGGTCCTCCCTGTCCCCGGCAGATGATTAGCGAGTCCTTATTTATAAAGTTCAAACGATCTCATCACCGGGGCTGCTCGGTTTATTTTAGTCTATGTATGCGGAGGTATAAATATTTACTTAGGAAGAAATAATATTTACTGCTTACCAGGAAAGCAAGGACACTTTTATTTATATATTTATTTTAAATCCACGGCTGCCAGAGGGTTGTTGGAGGGGAAATAAGCGCCTGGTTCGGCTCCTCCCGCAGCCGAGCCTGCCGCATCCCGCCTGCATTTTACGCCGCCGATTTTCCTAACAAAGGCAACGAATTATTTGAGCGGAAAAGCAAAATCCACGGCGCTTTTCCAAGGTGACAAAAATTCGACTTTGTAAGAGGGAGATAATAAAGCACCAAGCACTGTCAGTGCACAGGAGACGCCGAGATCTCAGCAGGTTCAACCCCCCGACGCGCCGCTTTAATTATTATAACGCTACATATTAATTCCTTTTATTTTTTGATTTTGACTGTCTCTTTATTTTAGCCCCGAAAATACACACATAGATGTGTATGTATGAATATTATTTTAAATTTTAACAGCTGCCATTAAAGCTGAGTTATTGGGAATTAACTGGGAAAGGCCGATCCTTTCCCGGGGGAAGAACCGCTGCTTTAACCCGGATTATTTCCCTGATCTAAACGAAAGATCCGCGCTCGGACACCGCACGGCCACGGCCTGAATATATATATATGTATTTTTTCCCCCTCTAAAATAAATAGTAAACATATATTAAATCGACCCAGCGTGTTTTATTTAAAATAATTTCCCTTATAATTAGCCCCGACCGCAGACCCAAAGCGTACCTATTCCGGCCGGGAATGCCGCAGCGCCGGGATGTAGTGCTGAAGTCAGGCCGAGAAAAAATTAATATATTTAGGGAAACATCACGGCGAGCTCGCGGGAGTCTCGGATCTGCCGGGGAAGGTTGGATTTGGAAGGAACCGGGGTGATGGCGGCCCCGCCGCCGCGAAAGAGCAGGGCCGGGCGCTGTCGCTGCGCGGCCGCGCACGGCGCATCCCGAACCGGGTGGGGGGACCGTGGGAAGCCCGTCCGCACCGCCACCGGCGGAACCCAAAGCTCCGCGGCAGCGGAGAACCGGCGCTCCGCGGCCGCGCCCCGAGCGCGTCTGCACCCTCCGCGGCCGCGCAGCCCGTCCTGCGGGCGGGGGTCACAAAGACACCGCTCACACAGAGACGGGCAGAGCATTTTAAAAATTTATTTACAAAGTTGTGTACAACACGAAGGGATAACATTTAGAATACATATATTCATTCATATATAAACAGACTTCTATAATAGAATGACAGCGTTTTTCCTCATTTTTTTTTCTCTCCAAAATTCTCTCTCTCTTTTTTTTTTTTCCTGTTCGTTCGTTTAATATTTAAAATTTCCCCCGCTTATTTCTTTTTTATACAATTTTTTTTCCCCTCATTTGTTCGTTTATTTCGGATAAAACCGCTCGGAGCGCCGGAACCTTCAAAAAAAGTGAAAGTTCGCAGCTCCTAATCGCGACCGTCATTTTCGCCTCTTTAGAAAAATAAAAACCCCGAAAGCAACGTCAGTGATTTTTGATACAAATATGTACAAGCGGCGGCTGCGGCGGCCGGTGCCCGCTGCTGCTCCGGGTCCAGGCGGCCGCGGAGCCCCGAGGGGGCGGCCGGAGCTCCCCGGGGCGCTGCCCGGGGCTACTGCGCCGGCCACTTGGCCTGCACGGCGGCGGCGGGGGCTGCGGGCTGCAGGAACTGCCCCGCGATGATGTTGGTAGGCACGCTGAGGATGGGGGCGATGGCCGCGGTGGTCCTGGCCAGCGCCAGCGGCTGGTGGGCCATGAGGGCCGACTGCACGGTGACCGGCGGCCGCAGGAAAGTCTGCGCGCTGGCGGCCGAGCTGGCGGCCGGCACGCCGATGATGTTCTCGATGCTGAAGGACGGGCGGCTGCTGGGCTCCGACTTGACGATGGAGCCGGCGGCGCCCAGGCTGTTGAGCTGCAGCTGCAGGCTGGGGCTGAGCTGCGAGTTGAAGGCTTTGCGGCTGAGCTCGCTGGACGGCAGCAGCGGCACGGCGGGCGGCAGCATGGGCCCCACCGGGGGGATGTAGGGGTACTGCAGCGCGGCCGCGGCCGCCGCGGGGTGCGTGTAGGCGCCGGGGTGCAGCCCGTAGGGGCGGCCGTAGGGTCCGGCCAGGCCGTAGGCGCCGAAGCCCTGCATCATCAGCGCCGTCTGGTCCCGCAGGTGCTCCTGCTGGTGCCGCTTGAAGCGCTTCCTGCGGCGAAGGAAGCTGCCGTTGTCGAACATGTCCTCGGACTGCGGGTCCAGCGTCCAGTAGTTGCCCTTGCCCGGGTTGCCGGGCTCCCGGGGGATCTTGACGAAGCAGTCGTTGAGGGAGAGGTTGTGGCGGATGCTGTTCTGCCAGGCGGGGAACTTCTCCCGGTAGTAGGGGAAGCGGTTGCTGATGAACTCGCAGATGCCGCTGAGCGTCAGCTTCTTCTGCGGGCTCTGCAGGATGGCCATGGTGATGAGGGCGATGTACGAGTAGGGCGGCTTCACCAGGCTGCTCTTGGGCTTGCTCTGCCCCGCTGCCCCGCCGCCGCCGCCGCCGCTCGCCCCCTCCTCGCCGCCCCCCTTGCCGCCCTCGGCCGCGCCGCCGGGGGCCGTCCCGGCCGGGCTCCCGCTGCCGCTGCTGCCGCTCTCCGCGCCCGCCTCCGCGGGCAGCGCCAGCTCCGCCGCCTCGTCCAGCGGCAGGCGCGGCAGGGCGGCGGGGCTGCCGGCCTCGCCCTCGCTGTCCTTGCCCGGCCCGTCGTCTCCCTCGCCCACCACGTCGATATCCACATCCTCGGCCGCCGGGACGGCGGGGCCGGACATGTCGCTGGCGCTGCCGCCGCCCGACAGGGTCATCCCCGCTCGGCGGACGGGGCGCGGCGGCGGCGGCGGGGCCTCCCGCCCGCACCGGGCTCCCTCCGCGCCCCGCTCCCGCCGCTCCTCCGACCGGCCCCGGGGGCTACACCCGAGCGGCCCGGCTGTCTCGTCCGGCTTTTTTTTGGCCGCTGTTTTTTCCCCCCCTCGGCGGAGGGAGGGGACGGAGCTGCCGGCGGCCGGGCGGGGCGGGGGCAGGAGGCCGGGGGTCGCGGGGCCTCGCTCGCCACTTTGGCAGCGCGGCGGTCCCGACTGCCTGATAGATTACTTTCCCGTTAAAGATATACTCGGAGGCGGCTCCACGTGACCGCCTGACGTCAGGCGCCCCGCTGTGAAGTCATGCAAAACTCGAGTTGTTTCATGGACTGTCAACAAAGAGCGGCGGCGGCTCCGCTCTGCCCGCCCCGACGGGGCCCGACGGCACCGGCACCGTCCGGCCCCCGCGGAAACGCTGCCGCACCGGGGCTCTCCGCTGCCGCTCTCGGTGCGCCGGGCCCGGAGCCGCCGCTCTCGGGGCGCTCGGCAGCGCAGGCTCAGCGGATGCGCCGCCTCAGGAGCGCTTAAAAGCACCAAGTTTGGGCTTTGAAACCACTTTTCAGTGGGTTTCTATTTTTTTGTTTTTTATTTTTTATTTTTTTTTTTCCAGCGGCAGCAGCACCAGCTGGGAACGGAAGACCAGAGAATAGCTATTGATTAATCTATTAGGTTAGTTGCAGGGAGAAATAAAAAAGACGTAAAATAACAAAGGGAAACTATAAATAAAGAACCTTTTAGCCGGTTATTTTTTTTTTTTTTTTTTTTTTTTTTTTCCTTTTTTTTTTTTTTTTTTTTTTTTTTTTTTTTTTTTCCTTTCCAGAGGTGTTAACGACTTAATCATTGCGGGCTTTAGCATATGAAAAAGTAGGAAATGAGGGAGTGTGTGTGAATGTGAGGACCGTATTGCCGCGGCCCCAGGTAAGCCCCGGCCCGGGGAAAGGCGCCCGGCGGGGCGGGAGGGGGCCCGGCCGCCCACCCGTGCCCCGGTGCGGAACCCCCCGCCCGGGCCCTCGGCCGCGGGTGGCTCCCGGGGTTTGCCTTTTTAATCCGTCCCGCCGAGCCCTTCGCTCTGGCGCTTCCCGCACGTGTTGTCCGATTTCGGTAAATACAATCAAATTAGGGAAATGCCCCAGGAGTTCAACGATTTCCTATGAGCGGCGTTGGTTTAGGGAAAGCAATTCCCCTCCTTGGCCCGGAACCCACCGGGGCTCGGAAGGGTCCCTGTCCCGGCCTCTCGCAGAGCTCCTGTCGGGCCCGGCTCGGGGGGAGGATGGGGGAATCTTCCCGCGGGCCGCGGAGCCGCTCTCTCCCCCCGCGCTCCGTTCTTGCGCGTCTCCCACAGGATCTCCGCGGCCCGCGACCTCCGCGCACCGCCCGCTGTCACACGCGGAGTCACAGAGCCACGTTCACACACACGCACTCCCTTTGGGTGTCGCCCGGCGCGCCGCAAAGGCTCTCCCTGGGGAAAAAAAAAAAAAGGAGGAAAAACCCCAACTCCGCAGCCCCCCGCTCCATTTGTTGCGCTTTTCTTCGGCACAATAAAAGTCAAATTAATTGATTCGTATTATTAATTACGGTGCTTAGCGTGAAAAGGAACGTTTCCCCTCGATTAGGGCTCTATTGTGCTAATCCCGTGTTCAATCACGGCTGCCGGCTGAGCGGGGCCGCCCCGCTCCGCGCCTCTCCGCGCCCCTCCGCGGGCGCTGCTGCGGCTCCCAGGCCTTCACCTGCTGAAGTTTAGGGCAGCATTTCCAATCCCATCCCGTTGGAAACTATTCAGGAGCCCACCCGGGCGGAGAAAAGCTTTGCTAATAATCAGGAAAGTTTCCCCCAAATAAGCCGGGAGCCCCCGAAGCCATGGAAGTTCAAGGGCTGGAGGTGAGCGGGAGCAGGATGGGCGTCCTGCAAAGCGATAAAACAATTAAAGCAGCTTCTGTGGAGGTGGAAACACACAATAATGACACGGCCAGAAATAGAAAGTGGGCGCCCATATAGACAGATAGATTTAGCAACAGGAGAAAAACAAACTGTATCGTCCGGATCGATACGGAGTCAAATAGAGACACGGCAGCGCAACGGGAAAAGGGAGGATGGAATAAGTTATGATAGAGAGGGAGAAATTAATTACAACTCAATTTGATTCTAATATGGCAAAGCAAGGTCCTGGCTGCGAAGAGAGTTAAAAATAAATCCGGAGGCTGAGCCTCGGGGGTGGGGGGGAGATTGTGGAGGAAAGACAGGGCTGGGGCAATTTCTGCTTCTGTAATCGTTTTAAAGGAAGGAGAAACCAAAGGTGTCCCCTTTCAGCTCCTTAAGCCTATTACTTTCACTAATGAGTTATATAAATCGTTGACCTGACCTGGATTAAACCAGCATTGTCGTTCTGTACAAACGTGCGGGGGTAAAAGGGCTCGCAGGAAAGGGGCTGCGGGTGAGAAATCCCTGTAAAATAAACACATCCAAGGGAGGGGACACGGCAGGGACACGCAGACATCCCCCGACCGCTAGGACCGGGGTCGGGGCCGAAATGGGGCGAACGGCGGAGCCTGGACCCCCCTTCAGCAGGGCCTTTCGCTGAAGATGTAGATTATTAAATACATGTAATTTTCCCTCTCTATTCTTAGGCCTCTACTTGCACGTGTTTGGTTTATTTTTTTTCTTTTATTTTTTCTTTCTTTCTTTTTTTTTTCTTTTTTATTTTTTTAATCGTAATAAATCGCTCTTAAACCAGGCAGACCTCAGTGCAAAACGAAATTGGTCATGTTTCCAAAACAGTTTCGGATTTATTTGTATTGGAAATGTATAAACATCCATTCTGTAAAAGGCAACACGTTTAATTAACGATGAGAGAGCAGTTAGGGGCAGAAAGCTAGTAAAATTGTGTGATAAATTTATGGCATTGTTAGCGTGCTTTTAATTATGGCTATTATGTTAATTATTTCACATTAGCATGGAGTTATCAGCAGCATGTCAGATTTAATCAAAACGAGCCTTTCTCTCGAAAACTGTGCTTTTCATTCTCCGCGAGGAGAACGGGGGGTCCCGAGCCGAAACCGCTTCCCCCCTTCTTTATTTATTTAAAAATAAATAAATGAAGGCTTTTAAAAAGAGACTTCCCAATGAAAAGAGTGGCTGGACGTGATCCGGGCTGGTGCAGGCTGCAGATCCCTTTAGGCTACAGCGAGCAGCTCAGGGAGGCTGAGGAGAGAAGCGACGCTCCTGTTTTTTAGGAATTCACCATTTTCACCCCCTCCGGAGAAGGCATTTTATCATTTTGGATCATTCTGTCAAACAATATGATGTTGCTCATTTTTATCTGTCCCGTTTTACAAAGCCCCCGTTCACACTGCTGGCCAGGACAACGCGCCTCAGTACAAAAGAATAAAAGAGACGAGCCGGGAGGATACGGGATCGCTGCATGGATCAAAAAGGAGGAAAGAGGAGGAGGTGTGTGCGAGTGTGAGTGCGTGTGTGTGAGTGTGTGTGTGTGCGCGGTGGGGCTCGCAGCGGCCCGGGGCCGGCTCCGTGCCCGCGCTGCCCCGCAGCTCCGCGGCCGCGGCTCCCGCACACGCTCCGCTGCCCCCGGGCCCGCTCCCCGCCCCGGGCCGCTGCTGCCGGGGGAGGCGACCCGCCGCTTCCCCAAAGGCTTCCGTGCAGAAATGAGAAGAATCGAACACAGAGAAATACAAAGAAAAATTAAAACCCGCAGGTGCGCCGGCAGCGAGGCGGGCGGCGGAGTTTTGGGGGGCTCCGTCCGCGCCGAGGTGCGGAGCGGCCCCGCGCCCGCGGAGAGCCGCGGCCGTCGCTCCGCGCAGCCCCGCGCAGCCCGCCCGGCTCTGCCCGCGCCCCCTCCTCCGGCCGGCCCCGCTCCCCCTTCCCCACGGGAGCGGGGGGCTGCGACCACGGCAGCTGCTGGCTTATTTTTAGAGCATTTCCATTCCTCCGGTTAATTTTAGATCGATCCATTATTTAGCCCCAGTTCGCCTTTAGGGAAACCCAAGCTGGGGGAGGCCGGCGCTCCGCGGCCGCGGGACTTTCCCCCGTGCGAGGTGCGCGGCCGCGCAGGGAAGGCAATTTTGGGGATCCCCCCTCCCACCCTCGGCGCTGCCGGAGGGGCGGGGGCCGCGCCCCGCGGATCCTGCGCCTCCCCCGGCTGGGCCGCGTGTCCCCGCGCTGTTTGCGCTCTGCCTTTCCCGCTGAGCTTGGGTTGCAGCAGGCGCAGGTTTTCCACGTCCTGCAGCCTTTTCCCCTTTGGGAGACACCCCCAAATCCACACACGCGCCCCCTTCCCCGCCCCTCCGAGCCGGGCCGAGGTGCCGGGGCTGCCCCGCGGGACCGGCCCTGCACCCCGCCCGGCCCCGGGGGACCGCGGGCGGGCGGGGGAGGCTCGGAGCCCCGGTCCGGCCCTCGGGGGGATGCGGGTGTAGGTGCGGTTCATGTTTATGTGGCCGCACCCTCCCCCCGAGCTGCCCCCGCCGTCGGGGCCGGGAGCGGCTCAGCCCCGCACCGCGTCCATCCTCGGAGCCTCTCCCCGCTCCGGATCTAAACACCAGCCAAACGCCGTGCAGAGCCGCGAATCGCCTTCAATTTGGGGTTGGTTTTCCTGAAGACTCGTCCTGGCGCTGGTCACTGCCTCCTCTGTGCCGTGCCTCCCCTGGGAGCTGGCAGGGTGCAGGTGGAGGGGCACCCGGCGGTGCTGGCTCGGCTCGGCTCGCAGGGAGACATCCCCGACTTGGATACAGGCAGGAAAACATCCCGGGGAGCTGGCAAAAACAGGCGGCAGCACTCAGGTGTGCCAGGGTATCCTCTTGGGATCCACAAAATAAAATCAAAAAGGGTCACAAGAGTAGAGCCTGGTACAGGTTAGAGATTTGGGTGCTTTACAAAGCAAGGAGAGAGAAAAATTAATCAAATAAGTTAAAATACAGAATTATTATTAGGCAAATGGGGCTGTGTGAGCAGAGGAGCTCTGCCGCCTTTTGGGCAAGAAGGCTGCAAAGTCAGCTGAGACCTGATTTGAAAAACAAAAAACAAAAAAACACCCAAACATTTGGCAGTCGTTCAATCAAAATTCGTTTGTTCTTCAGATTCTCATTTTGCAAATCCCCACTCTAAACAAATGGATATTTATCCCCAGTTTTGGCTGCAAGCACCTGCACCCACTCCGCGGTCCCACGCAGCCCTGGCATCCGGCAGTGCTGATTTCTGGAAGGGCCATGCTCACGTCCCCAACCATCTCCAAAAAATGGCTAAAACCCATCCCCTAAGCACCCTGTCACATCCCTGCCCCTGGAGGAGGCTCCTGTACTGTGAGCCGTAATAAATACACAGGAGCAAAAATCAGAGGCAAAAAAAAAGTCCTTTCAATTTGATTGTTTTGAACTCGTGGAGGGAAGGGATGGGTGGGAAGGGATGACCCCGGCCAGGGCTGTGGGGGAGGCACAGGGCAGCCCCCAGCCCTGCTCCATGCACGGCAGCAATATCGGGGTAGGACACGGACCCCCCCCAGCTGCTCATCCCCCAGGGAATGGCTGCTCTGGGAGGGATGTGCTTAGGCCACCCTGCTCCTTCAAAACCTGGGCATTCCTCCATTTAGAGATGGAAAGGGCACTCTGGATAGGCTCAGGAGAGAAGGTTTTATGTGAAAATGAGGGAATTTTATGTGAAAATGCCCCTATTTGAATAAATCAACACAACAGAGTATTTTTGCTTCATGCAAGTGGTGCCGGTGTGGCAGCAAATACGGGAACATGCCTTCAGAGTGGGGGGGATGCTACACAAAAAGAAGGGACACGGCTCAAAATGAGGACCCGCAGAGAGGCAGCAGTGGCAGCTCCTCTCACAGCACTGTCCCGGCTGGTTGTGACTTCGCAGGTAGGCAGGAGGTGTGAGGGTGACACAGCAGGGCTGTTTTCTCAGTTATTCCCCTGGCCAGCGAGATGCAAATGAAGACGCTAAGAGGATTTCCAGGGCCGTGAGGAAATCCCTTTGCTGAAAACTGGGAGCTCTCCACGGGCTGCTCCGGTGCTCCTGGCAGCACAGACACCCCCGTGAGATTCCCCACGTCGTGAGATCCACGAGCTGATTCCATTTCATTCCTCGACGCAGCCAGGACATCGGTGGGAGCCAGCTCCCCCTCCACGTGCTCTCCTGCTTCCCAAGGCTTTGTTTGTTTGTTTTTAGCAGGATAGTTTTGTGAGCCTCTCCTCTGGCTCGTGTACAGCACCCTCGATTCCCTTTATTAAGCTCGGCAAGACAAGCGGTGAGTTACGGCTGTTGTTAATAAAATCACTCCGCTAATATTTTTCCCCAACACGTGGAATATTATTGATGGATCAGGGGTGGGCCCATCCCGAGGCACAGGGCCCATGCATCACCCCAGCTCCATCCAAATGGGGCCTTGGTGGAGCGTAAGTGGTGCACAGGCCTTTTATGGGCCTTCTGCAGAACGGTGAATTTTACC